TAAAAAATAGTTTTAAAGAAAACTTTACATTTACTTATCTTTTGTTGTAAGCTATAAATAAGTATCATAACTGTTTTTATTGATTTTTTACGTATTAAAATATGCTTCTATATGAAAATTTTTGTTTTTATGTAATTTTTTTTCTCGTTTTTGTAATATTATATACATCTTAATTTAACATTTTTGTATTAAAAACTTACAATAAATTTGTTATTACAAAGAAATCTTTTAAAAAGCAATATAATATATACATATATATGCAAAAAAAAGAGATTTAAATCTGATTTAGCTATAAATTTTTTTATCTTTATTTTTACATTTGCATTGACCAAAAAAAAGAAAAAAAGAAAAAAGATAAAAAGGAAAATCGTTGGTGAAGATGGAGATTTTCGTTGCGAAATCCTTCAACAAATAGATTTTTATATATTGAAAAATGTTTATTTGCCTCAGAAAAACCATAAAAAATTTCAAAACACGAAAACAAAAATCCATTTTGCAATTTTCGTTTCGTTTCTTTTCTTTTTCCTCCCAAAATCTTTATTCATTTCCGAAAAATTTTCGAATTTCTACGGAATTTATCATTACGAGAAATGTCTCTTAACTATTTACAATTATGTTATTATTATTTAATAAAATAAGAAACATCATCATCAAATTTATATAAAGTAAGCTTTTGGTGCACGAAAATTACACGAAAATATTGAAACTAAATTCATTACTGATGAAATAAAAACTTATTTTCTGATTTTTCAGATTTATTTAAACTTTATAAGCAGGTTTTAGTATAAAAATATACTTTTTAATCTTAAATATTAATATTTTGTTGATTTGTTTATTTTAATATAATCAAATTTCTAATTCTTTTTGATGTATACTCTACACATTACACCAAACATCTTTGTTAAAAATAGATATATCTGCTTAAATTCATAACTAAATATGTATATTTTTTCCTATTAAAAGTGAGAATATTTCTTTACTTTTTATTTTTAAAAGCTCTCTTATGTCTGTTGCTTAATATAGAACATAAATAAAGGATTAAATGATATGAAGTATACGCGCGAGATTGAAATATAGAGAACACAGGTAAAACGTGTGATGTATGTTTTATAATGCAGATAATTAAAAAAATATGAAATTATGTTATTATTATTTAATAAAATAAGAAACATCATCATCAAATTTATATAAAATAAGCTTTTGGTGCACGAAAATTACACGAAAATATTGAAACTAAATTCATTACTGATGAAATTAGTAATCGACACAAACGACTTAGACTTAAAATTAGTTACAAGATATGGTAAAAAATGCATATGACATAGAACGGATCAATAGATACATAACATACAGCGCATATAATCGGATAAAGAATGGAAAGGATTAAGGAATATGAAGAGACACGCAAAGAGTAAAGAATACATTGCAAAGAATTGAAAAATATAAAGTGCATATAAAGAGCACAAAAGGTTGAAGAATACAAAGCGCACGAAAAGAGTTGAATACAAAGCACCATGGAAAAGGCTAAAGAATTCATATGCAAAGGGTTGAATTGCACAAATTACACAACAAAGATTAAAAATAAAAAAAAATACATCGATCTTTTTGTACTGTACGTGCAATTTTATTCTTTTAAGTTCTCGATTATAATTTACAAA